CAATTGAGATTGAAAAAAAAAAAAAAAAAAAAAAAATTTTTTTTTTTTTAAAAAAAAAAAAAAAAAAAAAAGGGCTAAACAATTGAAACGATCAAACATGCTTCCTCTGAAATGGAATTCTAGTAATTCACCATAATATGTGGCATTAGCAGTGTATGAAATTAGGACGTGCTTACAGTCTGGTTCACGGTGTGTGAGTCCTCATGGGAGTTTAGGTAAACTATGACTTGCATTAGGAGTTGATTACAGAAAAATGTTGTGTTAGGGATAATAAGGCTTGCTTTACAGGAACTGAGAGAGAAACATGATTTATCAGGTCATGACTAAGGACTTTTCCTGACACTTTCAAATAGTCAGAGCCACTGATATATTTGACTTTTGTTCTCATTTCTGCTTTTTTCTGCTTTTTCTGCAGAAGTATGTTCTCTTGTGTTTCAGTGTTGGTGTATAGGCTACTGCCTATTATGCTTCATAAAAGGCAGCTTTTCCTATCAATAAAATCTTTTTCTATATTAAATATCTTGGTTTCTCTTTTTTTCTGAGGTCACATTGTTCTGTTGTCTTACATAGAACACTAAAAAACATCTTACTGATATTGCTGTTCTCTTTTATTTGTTCGCATTGCATTTGATACTGAGATAATCCAAAAGTATAGTAATCAGTCTACATTACTTAAATATTTTCATACTCAGATTAGGTTACTGATTACATTGTTTTGAAGGTGACCAGTCATTTTAACGGAATACATTTTTAAAGTAACCCTCCCAACCCTGTTCATTCAGTAGTTCCCCGTTCTTAACTCAAATGAACAAGTTAGACTTGATTCAAGTGGGAATTGGGATCCACACTGGGTGCTGAGTGAGAAACTTCACATTATAATCAGCTCAGCAAATGTCATTATTGCTGTGATTTATTTCACCCCTCGAGCTGTGCGTGTACTGCTGTTTCCTTTTCTCAGTTTAGTGCAATTTCACTATGAGGTGATGAGAAACTTAAACATTAGCCAGTTTTGGGAGAAGATTCTTTACTTAAAGGGGACCTATCTTGCAAAATGCACTTTTGTACGTCTTTTATACATGAATATGTGTCCCCGGTGTGTCAGGGAACTCACCAAGTGTCAGAAAACACAACCCTCTCTCTTTTCCTCAATACCCAAATCTCTAAAAACGGGAATGAAACGGATCTGATACAGACTGATACAGATTTGAAATTGTTCTGACGTCAGAAACGGGGAGCTCCGCCTATATGGGCAACTCTCCACCTATCAGGGGAATGAGAGGTTGCCGTGGCATGGTAACAGCATGGTAACATGACGCTCGTGCCTCGCCCCCCTCCTTTGCAGGGGGGCGTGGTCAGCTGCAGCTCATTTGCCACAGAATCAGCCCTTGCAAAAACAGGGCTGGAATAGAGCAAATAGAGCGAAATGAGGCATGGCTAAAATGCATGATCTGTTTGGTATTTTGAAAAAAAAACTTCACAGACATGTTTTATATAGGTATGGCCTTGCAATATCTTATTCAAATATAGCATGATAGGTCCACTTTAAGTAAAATATCAAATACTATTGTCTTAATTACTCCATTACAAGTACAAGTTCTTATTAAAAAATGTAAAAGAACCAAATTATTAGCATCAAAATGTACTTAAAGTTTCAGAAGTACTAATTCTGCACAATGGCCCATTTCAGAATAATATAAAGTCCAGAAGTATTATCAACTAAATGTACTTCAATTATCAAAAGTAAAAGTACTTGTAATGCAGAATGGATCTTTTCACAGAATACTACTTTCCACCACTCCAATTAGTAAATGGCATCAAGGCTTTGGGAACATGCATCCGTCATTAAGAGAAGTATGTCTGAATGATGAGTAGTTAAAAAAACCTTACTACAGATTGTTAGATACGGTATGTATGTTTAGAGGTTACAAACGATAGGAACATTCTGAGGAGTAAGAGAGTGTGAAGAAACCTTTTTGTTCAGAGTCAGCTAAATGATCACGAGGTTGAGTGAAACGAGAAGCGATGACACTGAAGGGAGCGAATCTGAGTCAGTCTCTCCAGACTGTAGACCTCCCAAGTATTTAAGTCTCCTCGGCGTCTTTTGCTGTCCTGTGTGATGGACACATGGCGAAATATTTCTAATATCTGAAGCCGGACAGGTGAGTACATTATATGTCTCTCCAACCTCAAATTCAAACACTTTGATTAACATGTAAATGTGTCACTTAACTGCTCTCTTCTGAGCTCTGGCGCTGCGTTGAGTGGCAGCCTGTTACAGCAGCTCCCTACTCATCACTGAGTAGTTGTCAGTTCTCTGCTGTAACAATGTAAATGTCTTCTGAAGGTATTCTGATTCTGATTCTGATAAACATATTTTAGTTGACTCTACTGTTTGGCAATGTCTGTATTATACTGTGTATACTGAATCAAATAATGTCTTACTTTCTAAGAATTGCAGGTAAATGAACCACACTGTGGGGGGTGTGATAGCGTGATATAGCCCCACATTCTCTACCAACTGAGCTAACAGGGCTATTTTTACAGTAAACAACGACAACAAGGCCCAAGTAACTCTCAGAAAGGTTTCTTAAGACAGCAGGCAACATTACGGGCTGTACACATCAGGATTTCAAGTAAACACTGTGAAGAACATTTGAAATATATACTTTAACTTCATAATTAAAGCTGGTTCAGGCCATATCTATCAAAACGGTCTCAGTTTGTATCTGTCAACGATGAATTCTCATTACAAACTACAGTCAGTCATGGAGAACCGCAAGGGTCTGTACTTGGACCCATCCTGTTCATCATATATGCTACCATTGAGCAATATCATAAGGAATAACTCCATACATTTTCATTATTATGCAGATGATACACAATTGTATCCATCAATTAAACCAGATGTACAATTTTCATTAGTTAAACTGCAAGAATGCCCCACAGACATAAAGACATGGATGACCTGCAACTTTTTATTATTAAACTACTGACAAAACAGAAGTCATTATACTAGGCCCCCAGCACCTTCGGAACGAACTGTCCAACAACATAATTTCTTCAAATTGTATTACCAGCACCACGGTAAAAAATCTTGGTGATATTTTTGACGAGGATTTGTCTTTTAAATCCCATATAAAGCAAATTTCAAGGACTGCCTACTTCCATCTACGGAATATTGCAAAAATCAGGCACATCCTAAATCACAACAATGCAGAAACACTAATCCATGCTTTTATCACCTCCAGGCTGGATTATTGCAATTCTCTTTTATCAGGCTGTCCAAACTCATCATTAAAGACCCTTCAATTCATACAAAATGCTGCAGCACAGGTTTGAACAGGAACGAAAAAGTTGAAATAAAAAAATAGATGGTCTCTCAGTCACACCTGCCTAACAAGACTTACACTAACATGAAACCAAAATTACAATCAATGGTCAACACAACAATTGACCATAAGCAAAACAGGTTAACTGACATCTTCATACTGTCTAATTATAATTTCTTTATTCAGTTTATTTAACCTAAATATATTCATACAGCCCTTTAGATCATTTGGTAAATGATTCCACAGTTTAACGCCGACTACAGAGGTACACACCTGCTTTAAAGTAGTCAGTGCAAACTGATGCTTAAAGTGTCATTTTGTTCTATCTTGCTCATCCTCTAAAGTTACAATTGTTTTGTTTACTTTCTGGTAGTATTCTGTTTGTTGCTTTATGCATGACTTTAGAAGCTTGTTATTGAAATAGATCTTTACATTTGAACAGCCTTGTATTTGTGTGTTCTCTGGAATGTGATGTAATGTCTGTCTCCTCTCCTTCAGACATTAGCTTCCAGCCATGGGGGACTGGTCTTACATGTCCTCTCTGTTGGACAAGGTCCAGTCTCACTCCACGGTGGTTGGGAAGATCTGGATGAGCGTCCTCTTCCTGTTCCGGATCTTTGTCCTGGGAGCCGCCGTGGACAACGTCTGGGGGGACGAAGTGTCCGAGTTCTACTGCGACAGCCACGAACCGGGGTGCAAACACTCCTGCTACGACTGGAGGTTCCCCATCTCCTTCGTCCATTACTGGGTCCTGCAGATCACCTTCGTGTCCACGCCCACCCTGGTGTACCTGGGCCATGCCATCCACATCATCCACAGAGAGAAGAGGCAGATGGAGAAGCTGCGGGACGTCCCTGATGGAGCTGTCCGGAGGAGGCTGAGGTACACAGACGAGAGGGGGAAGGTGCAGATAACAGGCGTCCTCCTCTGCACCTACATGACCCAGCTGGTGTTCAAGATCCTCCTGGAGGTGGGGTTCTGTGTGGGACAGTTCTACATCTTTGGCCCCCCGTTCATGGAGCCTTACTTCCACTGCACCAGGTCTCCTTGTGCCTCTTTAAGTGGGGCCCAGTGTTACGTCTCTCGTCCAAGAGAGAAGACCATTTTCGTGGTGTTCATGCTGGTGGTGTCAGGCGTCTCGGTGCTGCTCAACATCCTGGAGATGATCTACCTGCTGTGTGGCCGGAGGAGAGACAGACGGTATGAGCATCAAGCCCAGCAGGAGGCGCTCTTGTTACAGCAGCAGTCCTCTAACACGGCGCGGGAAGCCGCGAGGAACCAGTATGGAGGCCACCCACTGCTGCCCCCCCGCCAGGGCCCCACAGGCCCCGCCAGTGAGGACAAACACAAGGACTCAGACGTCAGTAAAAAGAAGGTCCCCTGATACATGAACACACACGTCAATCAAATGGAAACACATCTTTGCTCAATAATAAAGTTAAGGTGGTTTCTTTTCAAATTGTACACACAATATAGACTGAAAAAACTGAAAATAATTCAATTAGATTTCACATCACTGTATTAGGTTAGTTGAAAGCAATAATATCAAGTTTAAATAACACATATTAGGTTTAAATATTTGCTTTCAACTAACCTAATACAGTTATGTAAAAATTGTTGAGATGATACATTTAATTAAAGTCAACGTCTCAGTTTTTTCAGTGAACCCTGCAAGAAAGACGCTGCAAATATATGGATATATATATATTTACAGTATATATATATATATATATATATATATATATTGATATTGATATTGAATATTTCTGTTTGAGTTGCCATTTATTCTATGAATGTGTGTATCAAAGAATGTTTTGGTATGAGATAGAATATTATTTTAAAGAAAAACGGGACAAAAACTACAAATCAAGACACAAGACAATTTTACTTCAAAGGTGATAGTAAGGACGCAGATGTTTTCGGTACAATTCATTTTATTTTTAGGTAAATGTCATATTCCTTAAAAGGAATTTGGTTTGGCTGACTCCAAATCAAATTAGATTTTTTTTTACGAGCTAAACAATATAGTTGCACTATTACAAATATTATGAATGAAAAGCAAATCGAAACTAATTGTGTATTTATCAAATATTTTATCTGAAATATTAAGCTGTATTTTTCTTTTTCTTATTTGTTTCTTTGATGTAATTGTTTTATAACTTTAATTATCTACCCCTGATGTGATCCTTTTTGTGTACTGAGTAAATAAAGAGTAAATATATCGTATAAACACACGTTTTTATGTAAAACGTAACTACAAGTGTCAAATAAATGTAGTGCAGTAAAAGTATATACCTCTGAAATGTAGTGAAGTAGCAGAAACGGAAATACTCAAGTAAAGTACAAGTATCACAAAATTAAACTGAATTGCTTAATTAATTACGTGTGCGTGTGTGTGTGTGTGTGTGTGTGTGTGTGTGTGTGTGTGTGTGTGTGTGTGTGTGTGTGTGTGTGTGTGTGTGTGCAGGAGTGTGTGGCACGTTGAATGACAGTACAAACACCAGGGGGCAGAGTCTTCTTCATGAATGAATGACTCTCTCTATCCAGTAGATGTTCTTGACAACTTGAATGTACTTTTCAATGAATACCAGCAGGTGTGTCTAGAATAGAACAAGGTGATAAACTAGATATATTCAAACTTTGCTGAGCTCCCATGAAAAACAACCTTAAAGTATGGGTTTGAATTCTGTGTCTTAAAACAATATTTCACCAGTGGTGAACCGTGTAGGGCCTTCAAGGTATTCAGAAAATACCCTGGAACAGTCAGATAAAACAAACAAAAAAATCGATTTAATTATATAAATAAAATGTAATAAAACACGGCGG